GGGGGGATGGTGAAGACTCGGCAGGGCTGGGTGCTGCTGTCTCCTCTGGAGCTGCTGGCTGTGGAGGCTGTGGGCGGAGCTGTGTCGGCGTCGGCTGTGGGCGGAGTTGCGTCGGCGTCGGCTGTGGGCGGAGTTGGATGCTGTTTCTTCATTGACCACAGCTTCAAGGTTAATGCGCACACTGGAAAGGGATCATAGGTGGTAATATGCTTATCAAGTAGTCACTTCTCTCTCTAGTTTCTCGTCGGTTTCCTACATACGTATTAAGAACATTCAGAATGTCAAATATACAATTTATTAAAACAGTTGTAAGTCAAAATTACGTTCTATTTACTCACTTGAAAGTATTAACCTGTCTCTGCACTCATAAAAATTTTGACAGGCACAGCAATATTGTTGCTATTTTGCCCAATGTTAGTAATTTCAGGGCAATCATAAAAGATACCTATTTAATTGCAGTTTTTATTCAATAAAGTATCGGTTAATTAAAAGATCAGTTGTCTTTGTAGCATTGTTTTACTTTGAGATGGTCCATGTGAGTCGTTGACAAGAAAAGGATTCATAATTTCAATATTCAAAATTACTGGCTAAGGGAACGTGGGTGAACCTTCTTCTACAAAAACCTCAATCACCTGATGTCGGCCATCTCCAGTGTTGTTGGCAGGAAGCTGAAGGGTATCGATTCAATGCGAATTAAATAAGAGCACTAAATCGTCAACCAAAGCAGTGCGTGTCGTGGAGGGTAATTGCGTATTTCTGTTGTTTCTTTTGTTTCATCCAGCTCTACACCGTGTTATCTCAGATTCTCCAGCATCGGCAGTTCCTACTATGTCTGTAACTATTTGGTTTAACATTTGAAGGGAAAACGTACAAAGGTCACAGTGGAAGAGTCGGGTTCCAGGCCTTATGGTCAACCTCTACCAGTGAAAATATACTAACATCTCTATGTGTATTACGCTATGAATCCATTATACAGATAATACAAGTTTCCCTTACTTTCTTTTAGATTCCACGTGTTATTTGTTCAGAACCTTGTCCTATCGGAACAAGAAAGGTCAGCAGGAAAGGTCAACCAATATGTTGTTTTGACTGCGCAGAGTGCGCCGACGGTGAGATCGGCAACATCACAGGTATACACAAACCTGGAGCCGAATACCATGTCAACATGTGACCATAGTCAATCTTGTATTTTAAAAAAAAAATGATGCCTTCATCTTTCAGATTCCACCGATTGTATGAAGTGCCCTTTGGATTACTGGTCCAATCAGCAAAAAGATCGATGTATTCCCAAAAAGATTCAATTTCTTTCATTCCAAGAGGTTCTGGGCTTCGTCTTAGTGGCACTTGCTTCCGTGGGCGTATGTCTTGCACTAGGTACAGCTGCTGTGTTCTTCCGGTATCGGGAAACTCCTATCGTTCGAGCGAACAATTCGGAGCTGAGCTTCCTCCTTCTCTTTGCGCTGACGCTTTGCTTCCTGTGCTCACTCACCTTCATTGGGAAACCGACCGGATGGTCCTGCATGTTGAGGCGGACGGCGTTTGGAATTGTATTTGTTCTCTGTATTTCCTGTATTTTGGGGAAAACCGTTCTTGTCGTGATTGCTTTTAAAGCAACTCTTCCCAAAAACAACTTGATGAGCTGGTTTGGTCCGAAGCAGCAACGGTTAGGAGTGTTCGGCCTCACATTTCTTCAAGGTTTAATTTGCACTATCTGGCTCATTGTATCACCTCCATATCCAGTAAAAAACATGACCTATTACAGAGACATTATAATTTTAGAATGTGATGTGGGCTCTTTAAAAGCCTTTTATTTTGTGTCCAGCTATATTGGCTTTCTGTCCACTGTTTGCTTCCTGCTAGCTTTTCTTTCCCGGAAACTTCCAGATAATTTTAACGATGCGAAGTATATCGCTTTCAGTATGCTGATTTTCTGCGCTGTTTGGATCACTTTTATTCCGGCTTATGTCAGCTCACCTGGAAAGTACACGGTGGCTGTAGAAGTGTTTGCTATTTGGGCGTCAAGCTTTGGTTTGCTTGTCTGTATTTTTGCTCCGAAATGTTATATTATCTTACTGAAACCGGAGAATAACACAAAGAAAAACGTGATGGGCAAAGGGTCTTCACTGTAGTTCTAAGCTTCTTCTGTTTCTGCCCATAAAATGTTCAGTCCGGAGATTGTTTGTGCATACAAATACTTTTTGTTTGTTAAACAATTTGCATTCGTTTTCGATGTATTTGTGCTTTGGTTCTAATAAATAATAAAGCAATTTACTTCGTTTTTCATGTTTCTTGTTATATGCGAAGACCTTTTTTATCCCGGCGACCATTTGCAGCAGAAGGAGCACCTCAACAAGACACCTTCCGAGTTCGAATGAGGACAAGCGTTCAGCAGAGGTCTGCGACGACGCTGATTGGAGGGTGGGGCGAAGATATGCATGGCGCAGTCACCACTGCCAAACAGGGTTTTGCAAGGAAGTTTTGGCGCAGTCACCACTACCAAAGAGGGATTTGTGGAGCAAGTGTTGGTGCAGTCACCACTACCGAATAGGGGTGTGGGGAGGAAGTGTTGTCAAGGGACGGTTAGACCCCAAACACTACTTCAGTGTTTCCCTCTCTCTGTCCTTCCTCTGACCAACAAAAAAGAAGCCACTGTGAAGACCACAAGCTGCAGCAGCAACAGAATGAGTATAAACCTACGGGAGCTCTGGGCACGTAGTAGTTGTGAGGAAAAAGCTGGAGTGACGTCATAGAGAGGCTGTGACCTGATTTGCTGATCGGAAATCTGCGCTAAATCTGAAAAAGAACGCAGCTAAGAAGTATCAATAAATTTAATTAACTCAACAAAGTAATTAACTAAGTAGAAATGGCTGGGCCGGTGATGTGTTGAAGCTGTATGACGTGGGAGCTAGCTGATCCCTTTGCAAACGGCGGTGACCACAACTGCAGAAAGCGTTGGTTGCTTGAGAAACTTCGGCTGGAATCTGAGCTTCAAACACTGCGGCACATCCAGGAGGTAGAGAAGTACCTCGACGCTGTGCTTCCGGGCCGTCACACCTGATAGGTTAAATACTTCAACTTTGGTCAGTGGCCGGGGACAACAGGGGGTGAGGCAGAGCTAAATAAAGGCAACTTAGGAGGCATGAGGTAGGAGCTGGGCAGAATTGACTGGGAGAGAAGCCTAGCAGGAATGACAGTGGAACAGCAATGGCAGGAGTTTCTAGGAGTTATTCAGGAGACACAGCAAAAACACAGGAGAACGAAGCATGGTACAGGGACCAGCTAGTGTATGTTGAACAAAATGCTGTGTTTTTATCGCGAGTTGCTTCATAAGCCCCCAATCTGTCTGTAATCTCGTTAGCAATATTCTAAAAGGGGTCTGAACATTTTGATGGTGCTCAGCGCTACCTGCGCCGCTTGCTGTCTTATCATAGAATTCCTACAATGTGAAACAATTCCTCATCGACCCTCACAGCATTCCACCCAGACCCATCCCCTTAATTTGCAATTTGGCATAGCTAATTCGCCTAGCTTGCATGTCTTTGGGCAGTGAGAGGAAACGGACGCAGACAGGGAAAAACGTGCACACTCCACACAGGTAGTTGCCCGAGGGTGGAATCGAAGCCGGGTCCCTGGCCTTGTGAGGCAATAGTGCTAACCACTGAGCCACCATTACTTATCCTACGTGCCTTTTCTTGATCCCAGTATTCCTGGCCTACTATTGCCCTCATTTTCTTTCCTGGAGGGAACTTAACTGAGCCTCCAATTCTGCAATGACAATGGTGTTAACAGTCGCTATACTTGATACATAGCCTGCTCCTGCTAACTCTATCAATTCCCTCTTCCTCCTTGTTGGTTCTGATGTGAATTCATTATGACTGAGTTCGTTCTGTCGTAGGTGGATTGTGCTTTCACACCAGAATGGCACCTCTATATCTGCCGAGATAAATATCACCTGTACGTGTCTATATCCTAGTACTAAAGTAATAATCTCTTCCGTTTCTTTCACAACTAATCCTACACCTCGTATCTCTCTGAGATTCGTGGTTCTGAGTTAGTTCCATTAGTGATTATAGTAGTAGGTTGAGCTGTAGTAGTGAGAGGGTTGTCCTTATAAAGTATGAAAACTGATCCTGTTTCTGGACACATAGCTAAATTTTCTTCAACCTCTCTGACCTTTGGGATAACCCCAGACGTACATTCCACCATGATCCAGTCTACCGGACTCATAATTACATGCAATTTCGGACATTCAGGAAATTGTTCCTGAACCACGTAAGTTCTCTGAGGATTAATTTTGTCGCAGAACATGTAACAGGTAATTCAGTTTTCTTGGCCACTGGGACAAAGATTGGAAAATAAGGTTGGAGCTGTGCAGGACATTGTGACACAAAAATCCACATTTCTTCCTAACACGCGACCATTACCGTGACATTTGTCCGAGCATGTAATATGTGTTGTTCACAATCGACCGATGTTATGTCCTATCGTTCATTAAAAAAAACAGTGAAAATATTCACTGTGGAAGGAACCCTCATTTCAAGGAGAACAACAATAGCTATCTTCCACGTTCTCATGATGATTCTTCTTCCTACAAAACAAATGTAGTTTCTGCTGTTATGTGCAGTCAATCTGATTTTATTTCTTTCATCGTATTTGTCGTGCTGATCTCCTTACTCCTCAACCAATTCATGTAGATCAAGGGCTGACTCTAGCCTTCCATCTTTTCCTCTCATTCATTTCGGTTGGAGAATGGATGTTTCCTTCATTATGTTCCCCATTTTCTTTTCCTTCATTTTTTGTTTCCATTGGTGAGCCCGAGGAGTCCATCTGACCTCTAAGGGGTTGAGAAATAGTGGTGCCCCTGCCATTTTGCTCAGGTTACTCTGGTCCACAATCCCCTGATTTGGTTTCCAAAGCCAATCCCACTCTATGTTTCCTAACTCTGGGGTATCATATTCTCCCAACATCATGTCTAAATGGTGATAATTATCCTACCTCCTCCAAATGGCTTTAACTGGTTAATATGATACTAGCCAGTCCTTTCAGGAGCTGTTAGCACCTTGTATACTGATTGACTTGCTTTGTTTATCAATTCATATGGCCCTGCAAATCTAGGGGCCAGGAAGAATGTTTTTGATGTACAGGTATCATCACCCGTTGCCCCACCTGCAGCCACATTGACTTTGTTTTGGAATCAAAGTCGGCCTTACGTTGTTTTTTCCTTCCATCCCATATTACTTATAGCCATATAATTCGCTTCTTTCACACTCTCAACCAGTTGTTGTACCCACTTATCTTTCATTATTCGGTCTACTTCTAGCTCCGATAGGTCTAATCCTAGCAGTGGCTCCAGGCCACACATCTCTCAACCCGTCAACAGCCTATAAGGGCCAAATTCTGTAGAGGAAGCTACATTGGTTTTTATTATCATCAAGTCATAAGGAAACACCGTCAGCCAAGTGGTCTGGTGCTGCTGCATCATTTTGGTCAACATGTTCTTCAAAGTTCGATTCATCCTTTCGACTATCCCACTGGATTGGGGCTTATAGGATATATGGAGCCTTTGTTTTATCCCTAGCAGTGTCATGACATTCTGCATCACCTGTGCTGTAAAACGTGTCCCTTGATCTGATTCAACATTCCTTTGTAACCCCAACGAGTAAAAACCTTTGCCAACCAGACCATTTTAGCGATATCATTTGGTGAAGCTATCTACTATCACCACTTTCTACTATCTACTATCATTTATATCCTTCTGCAGTTGGAGGTAGGGGACCCGCAAAGTCAATCTGTGGATTTGTCCAGGGCCCCTCTACTGGCCTTGCGTGTCTAAGGGCTCCCTTCTTGACATTTTTGTCAGGGTTATTTTGGAAACATATCAAACAATTTTTCACATAATGTTCCACATCTGCTTTCGTTCGTGGCCACCAACACACCTCTTTCAACCTCTCCAAGCTGTTTTCCAGCCCTTAGTGTGCATATATGTCATGATACCAATAAATCATCTGATTCCTTTCTCTTTCTGGTACTACAAATTTCCTTTCATACCGTACTACACCATCTTTTAGGTGTAAGTTGCATTGTTCCTACAATTCCTCTGACTCCCTCCCTTCTAATTCTTTTTGTAATTCTTTATCCTTTCTTTGTTGTCCTGCTAAGTCGACTGGTGGCACTTCTTTCTTTTTCTGTGTTCCTATTTTCTTGATCTGTGGCTGCCATTTTTCTCCTGCCTTTGCCCCTCGTTTGGCAAATTGATTTTTTTTCTAAACCCCTCTGGTAATAACATGGAATGAGTTTTCACTTTCATCACTCCATATTCTTTCCCTTTTGCCTTTTCAAAGATGTACCTCAGCAATGAGGCAGATGGTAGTACCTTCCCATCTGCTGACACAAAGCCTCTAGTCTCCCATAAGTGTAGGTATTCTGTCAGACTGTTCCACACGTACATACTATCTGAATAGACAGTAGATCCTAGGGGAATTTATCTGGGTAGCTCACTGTATATGCCACTGCTGCCAACTAAGCTGCTTGAGCATTCATGGTCCTTGTCAGCTTGAGGGCTATGCTATTCAATTCTCGTCCTTGCTCAACTTCCATATAGGTACCACAACCAGTTCTCTGTCCTGTACAGACGAAGAGCCTTTAACAAAAAAAATTTTAAGGGTGATTTGTCATTCCCCTACTGTTCTTCTACTTTTGCCTTTGTCTGCCACTGGTCTTGGATATTCCCTTTATTCTCTTTACTGTTATTCCCTCCTTCTTGTTTTGATACAAATGGTCCCTTGGGATCATATATTATCACTAATTGACACCCATGGGGTGTCCGCTAGTAAATTAAGTTACATGCTAACAATGTAGTGCTTTTAACCCTTTTTAACCTCTATGTTTTTCCCTTATAATAACGGCGTCCATCTAGCAATTCTGTTTGGGCTCACTATGCCAGAATTAATACGTCCATCCAGCAGCTTCTGAATGGGTGTATGTTCTGTCAAAATTGTCAATGTGTTCAAACCTACAATGTAGGTAAATTATTGTATGGCCCAGAATAGTGTCAATAAATACCTTTTCCGCACATCTTTTGCGATTCCTCTGTCCCATAGGACACCAGTTTACGGACCCATGGATTGTC